GAGAGAGAGAGAGAGAGAGAGAGAGAGAGAGGCTTCCATCTAGAAGGAAAGGCAATTGACTGCAGACGCTTTGTGGATTGCCCACCAGCTTGAGAAAAATCGTAGGGCGCAGAGAAGGGTGGCTGGTGGGTGCCTCTTCTTTGAAGTTCGTTCATTGTCCGTTCATTGCTCATCTCTATTTCGAGTTCAAACCCTTGGTTTGATGATCCCTGTTGTTTATCAGACTTGAGCAACTGTCTTGCATGGTCCAATGGTCCTGTTCCATCGTTGTCCCTTCACGTCGTTCTGAATGCCTTTGAAACGCTTTTCACCTTTACTGTAGCAGATGCAGTTCCCAGGGCTCGATCCCTAGACCTCGCCCTCACCCGTGTACAGTACCAGTTGACCTGTGTGTGCTTGAACCCGCGACCTGTGTCTTGAAAGTCGCCTGTTTGCTTGCTGACGATAGCGTGGTCGTCGGGTCTTGAACCGTAGGTCGGTAGATTAGAGGTCTTAGCAGTGGTAGGAGTCGTAGCCGCTACAGTGTTGAAAGGTCAAGTCCACAGAGTCTTCCGGAAGGTCCGGAACTGACCCTTCGTGAGTCCTAGGATGCAGTCGGTAGGCATGTGGTCAAGTGGGCAGACTAACCCAGCCCAGTCAGCGGTACCCAGTCCCGGTCGCACTTTGTCAAGTCAGGAAGTACCATGTGGGGCTGTGTGCACCCTGGGGACGACATCCACGTGCAGACCAACGAAGATCCAAAGTAGAAATAAAGAGGCAGCGTTCGGTCATTCATTCATTCTGCCTGTGAGCCGTGCGGAAGCGCTGCCTGAGCGTCTTGCGTTACGGAGGTCACGTGTTCGATCCTTGAACAGTGCGGACTTATAAAAAATGTATTTACAAGTGGGCTAAGAGGAGGAAGAGACGCGGCCATGGCCGCTGATGTTGTTAGTAGTAGAGGAAGGCAGCCATAGCTGCCATAACTTAGGATATGGGAATTAGCTGTGTGCATATGTGTTTGGTGTGTGTGGGAGTTCAGGGTGCGTTGCGAGTGTACATGCGGGATATGATATCCAGGGAGATCCAGGGTGTGTGTGCAAACAAGTTGCTCGGAGTACAGAGTAATTGGCCATGGCCGTTCGTGACATGTTTGAATCCGAACTGTGTGGTGGGCTACGATATCTCTGAGCTTGGTGTGGGCGCAAGTCGCCAGCTTGATGGTTATCTGTTTGTACGCATGCTGAAGGTCGAACAAGTCGAGTCTGATTGCACCTTGGACCATTGCGAGACTGATCCTTTGGCCTCAGCCTCTAGTCCCCACTCACCAAGCGAGGGACCTAGAAGCAGTGTCTTCATGGCACTGTTGGTATTTGCGTACAGGTCCTGCGGTGTTTGTCTGTGATTTGTGTTGGCTTTGTAGGCCGACTCAGACAGGCTCTGCATTTCTTTTTTTTTTTTTTTTTTTTTTAAGACCACTGCCTGATGTGGTCAGTGCTTTCCTGTTAGTGGATCCTTTTTGTGTTGTGTTGCAATTTTTTTTTTTTTTTTTTTTCATGTTTTGTGCGGTTGTCGTTTGGTAAGTGTGTTGCTTTATACCATCCATCCTTTTTTTTTTTTTTTTTTTTTTTTTTTTTTTTCAAACACATCCCCTGCAGTGCTAGTGGTGTTGGTTCGAGGAACCAAACACCACTAGCCCCTGGGGAGAAGCTCCATCTATTGGTGGGGAGCGACACCTGCTGGAAAACGGGTCCAGCGTCCCATACATCCATCCTTTCATGGATTATTATAATGCGTAGTTGTGCGAGTGTGCAGCTCTGGCGGCCCACGGGTGTGTGGGCACTCGGTGCTTGAACCCACCAATTTGACCGAATCTTCCCTTTCCCCGAGCCTAACAGCTACAGTGGCCGCCTCCCAAACAAAAAAATCAACCGGTTGTGGTATCGGTACCTGCCTCTATGTTTTGGACTGGAGGTTCGGAAGGAGGTTGTGTCCTCGGGTTTTTTTTTTTTTTTTCCTTTTCTTTTCTTTCTTAAAATCTCTCAAATTCTCTTGCGTTTCACTACCTACCCACCTACCGCTACTGCTGCAGACCCTTGCAAGCATAGCTACCTCACAATGAAGGGATTGCATGTTGCCCCCCGCCCCGACAGCGGTAGTCAGAGATGGGGTGTGGCCGCCGGTGGGGGTCCGGCCAACGCAAAGACCGAGCATTTTGCCAGTAGCTGTGCCTCCCTTTTCATCGTCCCCCCTCCCCAATCGAATAGCAGTAGTGTCCAAGGCCAACATGCTCCCACACACCACACAGAACCCACTCACACTCGCACTCACACCCGTGCTGGCCAAAGACCCTACTGATACCGATCACAGGTATCCAATGGACTATCACAGCTGGTTGGCACTAAGTGGCTGGATGTTTTTTTTGGGGGGGTCTCTATTAATTTGTAACTTTTCCATTTTGGAACTGTTAATATCTCCGACCCCAATGTTTTCACATGGCCGCACCGTTTCAGAACAGACGGCCTGTGGTTTCAGTTGATGAGGAGCAGCTGCGGCTTTGTGTCAAGCTGACAGAGATCGGGCCTCTTCCCTACCTTCTCTGGCGGCAGCCCCTTTTTCGCTATGCTGATGGAGCCACCATGTCCATCTCGATCATCGCCATGGTCGCAGCCCCAGCACGACGAATGCACAGTCTCGAGAGCACTGGTTTATGTTGTTGTTGTTGTTGTTGTCATTGTCGTTATTCTTGTTGTTGTTGTTGTTGTTGTTGTTGTTGTTGTTGTTGTTGTTATTGCCGTCGTCATCGTCGTCGTCATGATTGTTGTTGTTGTTGTTGTTGTTGTTGTTGTCATCGTCGGTGTTGTTGTTGTTGTCAGCGTGCTCGCTATGGACAAAGTCGGTCCACAAGTAGCAAAAACTAAAATTGGAAAAAAGGAGTATGCCGATGCCATACTCCTTATTCCTACTTCGGACATACGCTCACCACATGGGCGCTTCTCTCTCTCTCTCTCTCTCTCTCTCTCTCTCTCTCTCTCTGTGTGTGTGTGTGTGTGTGTGTGTGCGTGTGTGCGTGCATGGGCGTGTCTGCATGGGTGTGCGTGCATTTTGGAAAACAACGGCAGCGCAAGGAAAATAATGGCGGAAATGTTTACCGTCAAAAAAAAAAAAAAAAAAGAGGAAAACTAAAGGGAAAAAAAAAAACAACTTTTGGGTCTTTTGCGCGGGGTTGTACTGTTGCGCCTGTCTCTTTTCGGCATGAGTGTGAGCAAGAGTAGAGACGAACGGGGCAACTAGACGGCGATGACGACAATGGTGATGAGCGCGTGCGAACGTGAGAGAGAGAGAGAGAGAGAGAGAGAGAGAGAGAGAGAGAGAGAGAGAGAGAGATGATGGCGGTGACTTTGATCAAAATATGCATTCAGTTTGGTGCGATTTCCCCTCTAATTCGGTGGAATGTAATCTATGTCCGTGATGTCTTTTGGAACTTCTCGTCGCCAGAAATCAGAACTAAAAATCTCCTTTTGCACTCAATTTACCGTGAATACTTTTTCGCAGGAAAAATTATTTTTCATCATTTTTGTTTACTTTTTCATTTTCTCTCTTATGTGGCAGAACCTTATATTCATCCCTGAGTTTACTCAGAACCCTTGTTTCTAGAAATCAGAACTAAAAGTAGGCAAAGTTGGGCTACTTTTGACTTTTTCCCCCTCTCCCGCCCGCCGCCCCTCCCCCCCCTCCTGCCCCCCCTCCCCACCCTGCTGAAGAAAGACTGGTTGTACAGAGCATGCAGTCCAAAGAACAATGACCATCTAAACCACCAGTACCTCAGCCCTCTGTGTCATTAACGCGGCGCAACCTGCGGGGATCCTGGCTGCCGTTGATCATTTTCATCGATGGCCGAGTTTTGCCCGCCCCCCGAAAGTCGTGGTGCTAGCTCGTGCGCGATATATGGCCCGAGGTACTGTACTACTGGTGGTTTAAAACCAACAGCTACCAGTCCGAGTCATCCGCCACCCCTCTGGGACCCTTTCAGTTGTTCGAGCGAAAGAATAGATGAGCCTGCGGATACAGACGGCACAGCCTGCTACAGAGAGGATGATCAATGCCACGCTCTGCACAGAAGTGTTTTGTAATGCTCACTGATCTATTGGTGGGGAGCTGGCCCCTCTGAAAATGGGCTACCTCTGCTCAAAACTGGTCACCCCCGTGGCTGAAGACTACTGGCCTTGCGGCCAGTCTCTCCTAAACCCTTCCGAAAAGAAAAACGAGAAAAAAGGAAAAAACAGTTTGCAGACCGTAGGGGGTATGTAATACACTCCACGGGCATGGTC